AGTTATATATGATTTTTCCAACATTTATGTTCTCATCTCACATAAAGACCCGAATTGCAGTGTTTTGTGTTGTTTTCCATGTTGTTTGAGAATTCTATGAAATTAATCATGGCTGGGTAAACTTCGAGTCTACTTCCCCTCTTTTTAAACATCTTCCTTCGCTTGTAGACAGGGGCGGCTTTACACCCCAGCGAGCCCGGGCACGCTCCCGAGCTCAGACCCTACTTTTTTTGTATTCCCCCAACCTAATAGTCGATTTTTAGACAAAACTAGGGGCAAAATTAGTAAAACCAAGGAAAAAATTAGTAAAAACAGGGTGCAAAATTAGTAAAAATAAGGGCAAAATTAGTAAAAACAGGGTGCAACCTTAGTAAAAACGGGGTGTAAAATTTTTGCCCAGGCTGCCTAAAATTCCTGGCTCCGCCACTGTTTGTGGAAGATTTTCGTTTTTAGTACGTAGTATTTTACCTTTTGTCTCTGTTGGTGCACAAGGTTAAATGAATGAAGGAAAGGTAAGAGAGAATATATTTACTGCAATAACGGCTAGAAAGCTTACGAAAATAATGATACAAATGATTGCTACTACTAATCTATTTATACACAAAGTAAATTGCCATGTAGGACCTAATAAAAGTAAACTTAATGACTAAGTTAAAAGGTACAAACTAGGAAATATTAAACTTAACAACTACACTAACAAACTCAACCTAGAAGTTGAGTTGAACATACTTCTGGACATAACCTCAAAAGCTTCTGCTTCTAACTAACAACAACTTCTTAATATATCAAACTATTGCTTCTAACTAAGCAGTCTCAAAACCTTATAGCTTCTGACTAACAACCTCATAAGTTCTACTCTTTATGAGCAACATTGCTTATGAGTAATAATACATCAGAAGCTTCTGATTCTAATCAACAGCTTTTGAATATGAAATACTTTCCAACACCATCCCTTAATTCATATTCAGCTAACAAAAAACTACAACACTAATTCCATCCCTCAAATGGATAAGGTGTCCAGTCTTGACATCCTTCGCAAGAACACCTACAAGTTGCTTCCAGTTGCTACAATGTGCAATTTCTAATACTTCGTTTAGAAGTGTAGATTTATCCTCGAGAATCCACCTAACGCTGATGGATTTCTTCTCCTTTGGAAGCTCAGTTAACTCATAAATATTGTTTCTTTCAATAGCATCAATCTCTTCTTTCATGGCCTTCAACCATACTTTCTTCTTGAGAGCTTCACAGGTTGACAATGCAACCACTAGTTGCTTCTTGGAGCACCAAGAAATAGGACTTTCAAGATACAAAAAAAATCCAAAAGTATTTGTTTTGTCAACTCTCAGAGTCCCTTCAGTATATTGCAGCTTGTCAAACTCTGTAAATCTCCTTGGTATTTTTCTGATTTGTTTTGGCCTCTGGACTTGTTCAGAATCTCCTTCTGATTCTAAAACCGTATCTCCTGCTGGACTTTCTTCAGAAGATTGACTACCACTAGAAGCTCTACCTTTGTTAACTTTTAGACCTCTTTCAGAACCACTACCTTCAGAAATACCACCTTTAAAAGTTGGATCGCCTTCAGAAGCTCTGCCTTCATAAGTTCCACCTTTAGAATCATGACCTTCATCAGAGGTTGGATTACCTTTAGAAGCTCCTCCTTCAGAAGGTCCACCTTCAGAGACATGATTTCCACCAGAAACATGATCATTTTCAGAAGCTTGTCCTCCAAAACTGTCTTCAGAGTTTTCCCTTCCACGAGCATGACCACCACCAGATTCTGAATCATCATCAAAATATGGATCATAATCAGATTCACCATCTAACTCATCTTTAGAGTCTCCAGAAGATTATTCATCTTCTAACTCTAGCTCTTATTCAGAACTTTCAAGTTCTGACTCATCTTTAGAAGCAGAATCTTCTTCAGATTCTGAATCATCTTCTGATTCTTCTTCATACTCATAATCACCTTTAAATTTTGACTTGTCTTCAGCTTCAGAGTCATCTTCTAACTCTGACTCATCTTCAGAAACCTCAGATTCCAACTCATCTTCAGAATCTTCAGTGTCATCTTCTGATTCTGACTCATATTCAAACACTCCTTCAGAGTCAGAATATTCAGAGTCATCTTCTTCCCCTTATGAATCAGAAAATAACAATTTCACAAGTTTCTCATCAAATTCATAAGCCATTAATAGCACAGGTTCATCATCAGAATCTTCTTTGACTATTTTTGCTTCTTCTTTGTTTGACCAACAATCTTTAGTAAGGTGGCCAAACTGCTTACAACAGTAACACTGAACTATTCTCTTGTCATACTTCTTGTTTCCCTTCTGATATTTCTTTTTATCAGAATAGAAGACTTCTAACTTCTGATACCTACCATGTTTTCTATGCTTCTGGTCCTTCTTGACAAAAGAAGCTTTTAGAGCCTGCTCAACTTCCCTCTCAGAAGTTCTTTCAGTCAGACGCAACTCTTGCGCCTCTAGACTACTTTGCAGCTCTTCTATTCTTATGGTGTCCAGATCTTTAGAATGTTCAATTGCTACAACAATGTAATCAAATTGAGGAGTAAGAGACCTCAATATCTTCTTAAAGATTACTTGTTCAGAAAGGGTTTCTCCATAAGCTTTAATCTCATTAGTGATCAGAATCACTCTAGAGATATACTTAGAAACCTTCTCATTTACCTTCATGTTGAGATTCTCATACTGCTTTCTGAGAGACTAGAGCTTCACCTTCTTCACTGATGCGTCACCACCGTAACACCTACTTAGTGTGTCCCACGCAGCCTTCGTCATCGTCGAATCAGCGATTTTCTCAAACATGTTCTCATCCACACAGTGATGGATGAAGAATAACGCCTTCTGATCTTTCTTCCTTGTATCTCTCTGCACATTTCTTTGTTCCTCCGTCACATCTTCTCCAACTAGAACATAACCATTTGTAACAAACTCAAGAATATCCTGAGCACCAAATATCACACGCATCTGAATCATCCAACAATTCCAGTTTTTGCCATTAAATATTGAAAGCTTGGTACTTAGACTACCATTTCCGATCATCTTCAACCTTGTACAGAACACTCAAATCTCACAAACATAGTATTTCTCATTCCCGCGGAATCAAAAAATGTGATTCTATTCAGATTTTATTCAAGATTCAACACAAATTCAAGAACCAAAATAAATCACACAACCGCCTCGCCGTTTCACTCGTGTTTCCCGTGAATTCAACCAGAGCTCTAGATACTAATTATTGGTGCACAAGATTAAATGAATGAAGGAAAGGTAAGAGAGAATATATTTACTTCAATGACGACTAGAAAGCTTACAAAATGAATGATACAAATGATTGCTACTACTAGTTTATTTATACACAAAGTAAATTGTCACGTAGGCTATAATAAAAATAAACTTAGTGACTAAGTTAAAAGGTACAAACTATGAAATACTAAACTTAACAACTACACTAACAAACTCATAACCCAGAAGCTGAGCTGAACATACTTCTGGACGTAATCTCAGAAGCATTTGCTTCTTACTAACAACAACTTCTTAATATATCAAACTACTGCTTCTAACTAAGCAGTCTCAGAAGCTTACATCTTCTAACTAACAACCTCAGCAATTTTACTATTTCTAAACAACACTGCTTCTGAGTAATACATCAGAAACTTCTGATTCTAATCAATAACTTCTGAATATGAAATACTTTCCAACAGTCTTGTCATGCCCATGGGTTCATATGTGACATTGATGATCCTTATTGTCTGTATTTCTTTCATTGTTGTTTCAATGATTATTTCTCGTTACTCTGTAGGGAACTTTGTCTTGTTCTTAAGGATTTAGATGGTGATTTTCTGCCTTCTTATAAGAGGGTCAAAAGTTATCCTAACACATGGTCGAGCACAATCCCTTACATCTTATTTATTCTCTACACTTGTTTTCTGGTGAGAGAGAGAGAAGGACTTAATTGTCTCAGGTGTGTTTTATGATAATATGCCTTGCCACATTTTTCTTTCCACTTGATATTCATAGTGTTCCTTTCAAAACAGGATGGCTGGTAGATGAAATCGTGAACGTAATCCTTGAGACTCCATGTATGCTTATGGACAGTTGGTTCACCCTTCCACTTCTCATGAAAGTAGGAGGATGTTAGACACTATTTTTTAGACTAAAATTGGATATTCTCATAAGCGATGGCTCCTTAACCATTCTTCCTAATGAAGATTAGGTAGTTCATTTCTTTCCCACTACACTCAACTCGCTTGCCCTTATTTCTAAGGTGAATTCTCCTTGAATTGCATATTTGTGGATTATATATATATATATATACTATTAAGTTGCTGTGCAAAACATATTTAATTTAAAAATAAAAGCATTTAATTTATTAGTATCATTGAATCAGATGAATTTGTATGGTTATGAATGTGAAAGTTTGATTTTGTTTAAAGAATAATTCTAACACATGTGTTAAGAATTAAATAAAAAAGAATTTATATCTTAAAAATTGTGTATTGAATTAATTACAAATACATAATTAATTTTATTTTTTATTTTATTTCAGCCAAACTTTCTAAGTTTTAAGTTTTTTAACATGTGCCCTAAGGGTCACACATCACATTAAAGGCGGCGCAGGTAGATTAATCCACTCAATATCTTTCGGATCAAAACTACGCAAAACTCAGTAGAGACCAAAAACGTAATTTAACAAAATAAAAGGAAGATAATTTTTATTCAAATTTCAATGTTGAATAAACATTGCAGTTTGTATACTGTAGAAAATAACAAAATGACCCAGGTATAGCTGTCAAAAAATCATATGAAGTGCAATTATGAAGTAGATAGATAACTACATAAAACACGGGGTCTATATATGTTATTTATCTCCCCAAAAAAATACTATTAAACTATCTTCTAAGATCTAACGGTAAATCCAGTATTGTTTCCAAAAGAAAATAGTTTATAATTTTTTAACAAAGTCATAGTGAGTTTCTGGACCTACTGAAAGATAGGAAGATCGTGCTGTAGTGGTTGTTTAAAACTTGTACTGACTTGTGTCACTTGTTCTGGAACAATGCTGCTTGAGGCTTCTTTTTCAACCAAACTTCCCATCTTTAAGAAATAACTATGCCTGCAAAAATAGAGCTTTTGATGTCAAATTCATATATCGTACAATACAACATTGTAAGATTCAAAAGCGAAAAACAAATAATATCTACCATCGAGTATCAGCTGTCAATTCAGGATGAAATGCAGTCGCCAGTATGTTCCCTTGTCTCACAGCAACAATAACTTTGTTGGCTTCTTCAGCATTCTCCTGTCATTGCATAAATAATAAGAAACATGTTAGGGATTGAGGGGAAATGGTACTGTATACAAGTTCCCGGAGTTTGTACGTATAAAAGTACTATTCCTAACAAATTAACCACTACCATTTTCCTATATACAAAATTAATGGTGATAGGAACCCAGAGTTTGTACGTATTTGGATCCTCTACTACCCCCTACCTCTGTAGTAGAAAATGATAAGTGAGAGAGCAGAGAGAATGGTGAGAGAAATGGTACGTGTGAAAGAGAGGAACTAGGAGAGATATAGAGAGCAGAGAGAATGGTGAGAGAAATGGTATGTGTGAAAGAGAGGAACTAGGAGAGATATAGAGAGACTGATAACTGGAGAGAGCTCTGCTCGGAGTATCCATGTCCAGGCATCAATCTCGTCAAGCTAAGAACTTAAGTAGCATAAGTGTTTGTTGGACTTTCCGCCTTAATTGCAGTCCGCCTTTAGTCGCCTTAATTGCGGCTCTTTGGCTTGCTTCATTGCAGCCCCTAACACCTTCATTGCGTTAGCTTTGAAGGGGTGGATTTAGTTCCAAATTGTTTAGAGATATATGGTATGTGTTGTCCTTATAAGTGAGAGCAATCCTCATCCTACAAGCCGGTTTTGTAGGGATGAGTTAGGTCCAAACTAAGTTCTGAGATGGTATCAGAGCCTATCCTAGATTTATTGTGGAGCTTCCCGCATCGTTCACGCTTCAGGCTCATTGAGGCCCAAACGTGAGGGAGTGTGTTCGACTTTCCGCCTTAATTGGGGTCCGCCCCTAGTCGGCTTAATTGCGGCTCTTTGACTTGTCCTTATAAGTGAGAGCAATCCTCATCTTACAAGCTAATTTTGTAGGGATGAGTTAGGCCCAACCCAAATTCCGAGAGTGTTCAATAGAATCGTAGTAATAGCCAATATTTTTAAAGGTGTTGAGTGGTTTTGAAACCAAACGAAATAGTGCATTATAATATTGATTTGTAAATAACCTGACCCCAGACAAAAGTGGCCGTCAAGCAAATAAGTTTAGAACAAACGGTACATGAGGCTGCTACTGAGTAATCACTCTCTAGACTCCAGTGAAATTCAGGTGGAGAGGCTTAAGCAATCGCTGATTCATGTAATTGGAAATAGCAAATATCCGGCGCTTGCCTGCACCCTTAAGGGAGCAACCTAAGTGGACAGTTACCAATTGAATACCTAGTAGCTGGATGGTAAGACAGGACCTGTATACCTCTCAAACCAATATAGGTCTTCTAGTGTGAAGGTTTCATTTTTTTAATCCTCCAAAGGATAACCATTTTCTAGGTGCCCGTAACCAGCCTTGAGATCACTGCTCACCATGGGCATGAACAAAGGTCAACAAGAAAAGAACTAGAAAGCATAACTCCGAACTAAGCCCAAAGGCTAGATCCCATTGAAGTAGTTCACGTAGAGATTTTAGGCTAGCCAGCTTTCAGTGCAAAGGAAAGATGTATTGATAGTCTATAGCTTATTTTAATAGACGGAGCTACTAAGCAAAGAAGTGAAAGGTCTATCATTTATAACACTGATATGTAAATCACATAACCCAAACAAAAGTGCCCCTTAAGCAAATAAGTTTAGAATAAATGGTACATGTGGCTGCTACTGAGTAATCACTGCTCTAGACTCCAGCAAATTCAGGTGTATTCTCAAATCCAATCTCGTAGGATAAAGAAATATATTACAACAGATGTACTACATTGGAAAGACAGAATTTTCCAATTCTTCATTAAGGGTTCTAAATATCTTTCCACAGAAAACATGGGAATTATTAGCAGAACAAACACTAGCAGCAAGCCAATTTGAAAATTGTGTAATTGATTCTTCAACTGTTCAAAAATTGTTTTTTCAAGACAAAATTTCTATATTTTTATTCCTTAACATGTGCCCTTAGAGTAAATGTTAGCATACCCGTACAATATAAGTCAGTGAAATACTATATACTGTTTAATCAAACTGAGAAATAACCAAAAACATGACAAGTTAGAAAATTACAACCACCATTCTCCACTGATCTTACATTCATAAAGGGGCAGATAAAAGTGTTCTATAGGGTATACAGTATGAATAACTAACCTTTTTGCCTTCAACAGAGGAATCAGAACTCAGTACTTGGTCAGAAGGAACAGGATAATCAGCTAGGACTTGAACATCTGGTCCTACATTAAGAATTCCTGGGGCACGAATAAAAACTCCACGGAATGTTTCAGGACCACCTTCCTTGGACACGAGCTCTGGTACTAGAAGCTCTGTCTCAAAGCTTTGAATCTGAGTAAGCATGTTATTTGTTAACTGACCAAAATTATATCATTTTACCAATTTCACTTAGAACAGTATTATTATATTTACATCCAAAGAAGAACTCCACGAATATTACTAGCTATAATGGATAAAATGCAAAATGTTTTACAAAAAGATATGGTTGTTTTGACAAAATAACCACTGCAGCCAAGGACCGTAAACTTGAAGTAACTACTTTAGGTTTGGAAGTTTCTAGATAATAAGAAAACTAAATTAAGAACGGAACAAGTAGTGTAATGGAGGAAGTGAAGAGAGTGAAGAAAAGCTTCATAAAAGCTAGTTCCTCTAATTGGGTTCCTAAGTGGGTCTCCCTGATACACATCACTCACTTATAACTTTTTAATATTAATACTTAATAATCACCCACTTCCTCTAATCCACTTCCTCTAATACACATCACTCACTATATTTCAACAACACTCATTCATTTTAAATTTTTTAATACAAATTTATTAGTTGGACAAATAAAAGCGAGGAGAGAAAGGGAGCACGTATGCTCATGTTGCACCGACACCTCTGAAAAAAGGTGTCAGTGTCTGTGTTCGAAATCAACACTTGTGATTATATTTAATTTATTCCATTTTTCAAATTATTACTAGTGTCGTATTTCCGGTGACTGTGTTCCATAGTGTATACCCATGTTTTTTCATCTCCAACGAAGTTTCCTATTAGGTGGTAGTCCCTAATATGCAGTGTTGTCAATGGCGGATGACAGTCCATGGCGAAGAGCCAAAATCCCTTCATACCGGCCGCTTTGTGGCGCCGTGATAGTGGATTATGGCAAGGAAAACCTGCAATATTGGCTGATATTTACCTTTGCGGCGAGCCTAAAAACCGTCATGTATATCTGTCATAGCGGTCATTGTGCCGCTATTTGATAACACTCCTAATAGGTAAAGAAATCTTCATCGTGGATGCTCTTAGAGTCCTCAAAAATAATTATAAGTTGGCAACTTGCACCATTTCTCACATGTTAAATGTTAGTCCGTTTAGAATGACCATCAACTTTATTATCACCAAATAAAAACAAAAGTCTTAGCAGAGTTCATCTCTCACGTTCCTGATTAATGATTGAGATTAAGATAAGCTTCTATTTGTATTAGTTCGACTGACGATACACATTAACAAGGGAAAGAGAATTGATAAGATCTTTACTGACAAGGAGAGAGATAATGGATTCAATCAATTAAAGGACCGTGCTTAATATAATCAAATCAATCAATTAAAGGATATGTTGATTAAAGTAAAAAAGCAAAAATTAAAGTAAAAAATAATAAGAGAAAAGGAAACAAAATAATAAAAAAACTGACAGTGTTCTCTGATATTGCTACCTCACAAAAGCAGCCACATCAAATACATGCATTACCTGGCTGCCAAAGAAATTTCTGTGTACAGTACAATCAAGTCCGCCAACAAGTTCTTGTCCACCAGTCTTCTGTCCTGAAATAATGTTTGTCATTTGAAGTATTTAAACAATCATTAGATATTGCGTGACAGGTAAAATAAGACAAATATTTGATATTGTAGCCGCAATTGCACTCACAATGCAAACATGGAAATTCCAGAATCATTGATATTATGACCACAATTATGATTGCTGACCATAATTTAAAACCTTGGAGAGAAACAACCCACCTGTAGCTTCATTCGCCAGAAAAATTAGTCCTGCACAGGTTCCCCAAACTGGCTTTCCCATTTGCACAAACTCTCGCAAAGCTGGAAACTGCAAATTGAAACATTCAGCATAGTTTATCATCATCAATGCCATAATTGTGTCTTGATTCCATGAGCATAAAATTACAACGTTGGTATAAAATTTCAATAATCAACTACAGACACTGCAAACATAGTTTATACATACATTTGGTGATATTTAACCTTTTGTCGTACATGCTTTAACTCCCACCATGGTTAAATATGGCACATGTAAATTCGATAAAATATATTGAAATCAGTGATGTCGATGGCGGTCCATGGTGGAGAGCCAAAATCCCGCCATACCGACCACTTTATGGCACCGTTATAGCGGATTATGGCGGAAAACCCCACAATAACAGCCGATATTTACCATTACAGCGAGCCCGAAAACCGCCATGTATATCCGCCATGACACCAATATTTGATAACACTAAATGAAATACCTTTCAAAAATATTTTTAGGCCTGTCTATATAATTATTAAATTCTAATTAAATTACTCCCAAAAAAACATAATATTACTCATATTAGAGTGGGCTTGGTTTTCAATTGAGAGCCTCCAACTGGTCTTGAGATTCACTCAAACTTAAGTTTGAAAACTTCAATCCAAACATATGTTTAGTTTCTGTAAAACTAAATTAACATATGGTTCGTCTAAACTTTCCAGGCTTCCATTCTTCATTCAAATGAATTAGAATAGCAAATATGATTCCAAAGTACACAGATAAATAAAATGAACACATGAACACAGACAATTGATGATAAAGAACAATTAACTGTGGCTATGCCTACATCTTCGACAACAAAGTAGCCACAGTAGTTTTTCGTTTGTGCAATTATTAGGGTCACAGAGTACAATCCAGAGTTTAAATACTACACCCTGATACGCCAGTGTTGTCGATGGTGGCCATATTGTCCGCTTTGCGGCGCCTTTATAGCAGATTATGGCGGGAAAACCCACAATATTTGCTTATATTTACCATTGCGACGAGCCTAAAAACCGCCATGTATATCTGCCATGACGGATATTTGATAACACGGTGATACGCTCAAACGACTCTACCCAGTCATCGATGAATATTATGAGTCATGCTCAACAAAATGAAAACTAATTTCACTCACAGATTACAAATAGACAAAATATGTTGCAGACTAAATGCATATTCAGGACAATGAAAGCAATTCCCATCATTTTTCCTTTATGTACTAAATGATTTAATATCCATCATATAAAATTAGTGAATGAGAAATTATCATGTATTAAACTAACACTACAACCTAACCGTACACGGACACCTCTAGGAGTAGGCGTGTCGAGGTGTCTGACACACGTCAGTATCTGACACACGTAGATCTTTGACATTTGTATGACACTCATACGGACAAATCATACAACTGTTTGAAAAAAGAGTGAGAAGTGATACCAGGTTGAAAGCCTCAGCGAGTTTAGCCATGGTGGTGCTTTCACCACCAGGAATGATTAAGGAATTAACGGTGAGAAGCTGTTCAGGTTTTCGAATTTCAACACCTTTAACACCTAATCTTCTGAGAGCTGAAAAGACAAACACAAAACGTTGAAGGTGAGTGGGGTGAATGAGAAAATTGGAAAAGAAAAGAAGAGAGAAAGTGATTATGCCTGCTATGTGTTCGTTGAAAGATCCCTGTAAAGCGAGAACACCAACGACGGCCATGTTGAGTTTGTGTGTGGGGGAGAGTGAATTCAAATAAACAGAACGCGGAGCGGAGATATATGTAACTTGAGTTCGGTTTGGTCCTCTCGTTTTGGTTTGAGTATGCGTGGTGTTACTAGTGTGGTGTTAGGGTGTTTGTACCAGAGTGGGAAGTAGGAATGGGAAAAGGTGAAAAAGGTGAAAAGTATATATTTTCGATTTTGAAATATACATAAAAATATTGAATTTTCAAAACACAATTTAATTTAACAAAAAAACACAATTATTTTTTAGTTATTAAAAAATTATTCAGAGTTATTAAAAAATAATTTATAGATATAAAATTAACAAATTATTTTATCAGATCAGATTAGATAATATTCAATAATTATATAGATAATTAATTTTCTATTTCACATGTCATTATGTCACTATAAACACAATAGTTATTTTATTTTAAATTAATATTAATTGAATTTATACGATAATTATTTATTTTACAATTAAGTTATTCATTTAAAATATACATGTGTATTTGAATATATTTTATATCATATTAAACTTGATAATAATTAATAGTCATGTACACAATTAATTTTTCATCTTGCGGATTACTATCAACATAATATTATATAATATTTATTTTATTTTTAATTAACAATTGTCTTTATTTGAGACACAAAATTTATTTGTATATGTCAAAAAAAATCTTCATATCAGAGGTCCTTTTTTTTCTTTAGGTGTGACTTATTTAATATAATTGAGTTTACATGATCTTTGTTCATTTTACAATTAAATAACTCATTTCAAATTTTCATATGTATCTAAATACATTTTATACATATCAAATTGGATAATATTAATACTTAATAGTAATGCATATAATAGGTTTTCATCTCACAAATCATTATCAACACAATACATATTTTATTTTAATTAATAATTACTTTTGTTTGAGAGAGAAAAATCCTTATTTCTAAATGTCAAAAAAAAAATCTTCGTCTCGGGGTTCCCTTTTTTTATACTATTATGTAATACAATTGAATTTATATAATCATTGTTCGTTTTACAATAAGTAATTTATTTCAAATTTAGATGTGTATCTAAATATATTTTATATCATATCAAATATATTTATCTGTGCGGGCGTATAAATATCAAATAATTTTGTTTTCTTCTAACTATTATGTTGTATTTACAAAAGAAAAAGGAAATTTTTTAGGTATTTTATTAGGGTGCTTGACAAGATTGCGAGTCTTGCTCCTATGTATCCTCCGGTGCAACGAGGAATTCAGATCTACGTATTTTTAGGTAGCAAATGTTTGTGTGTTGGTCGATTTTAGCGAAAGGTGCTTAGGTCGCATTCGAGCAACAAAATTTTGCTTGCTACGCAGTCACGAGAGTGTTTACAGTGATTTTTGGTAAACAACCGCTAGTCCTCCAAACTATCAAATAATCTTACTGACTGTTATTCAATCTCTCTGGTAACTCGCAGGATCGACTAGATTGATCCTAAGATGTATTGGTCATTAGGGTAACTCTCATGATAGAATTGGTATTCATGGTTGGTATTTGGAATGTTGTGCAGGTGCTTAACTTACTTCGATTACTCTATTAAAATCTAAAGGCATGATCAAGTAAATGTGCGCGAAACCAAATTGCATGAATGAAGTTCAATTGTAAAGACATGTAAAAACTGCATAAAAACGTGTAAATGACTTCGAAGCATAAAAACATGTAATGTAAAAGATTCTCTGGAACGTAAAAGATTCGAAATATGAAGAAAGCGTTTAAATGCAAGAAAACAGTAAAATGACTTTAAGTGAAAAAGGTGTTCGAATGATAAAAGCTTAAAGATAAAGGCATGAAATGTACAACAGTTTCTGAAATGTAAAGTATTTGAAGTGAGAAGAAAGCATTTAAAGGTAAGACATTAGTAAAAAGACTTCGAATGAAAACATTTTAAATGCAAAAGCTTGTGAATGGTATTGACATGAAGATAAAGGAAAGTACTGGAAATGATAAAGAGTTTTTATTCAATCATAAACACTTGGTGTTATCATACGTACATTGCTCGTGCATTCGTTTCCCTAGCCATGTGGTAATTTGAATGTTTACTGAGTTTTTTGTACAATAGATATGACACCTGAAATCCTAATGCTAAGACTTCTATTTATACTACTTCGATCATAACGGTCTTGCTATAAGATTCTGCCACGTTCAGAACATGCAGAGCAATGCCTCTCTCCTGCTTCCACGCGTCTTCGAATGCTCCAGTGCATATATTTCAAATTTCGAACATCCCGCTTGCATTTGAATTTCAAATGTTTTGGCACTGCTTCGTTTCGAACGCTTTTCTTAGACACAGCCTTGTTACCATTTCGAGGCTTCTTTGAATATATTCTCATAACTGTCACTCGAAGCCCCAAACTTTGATATGCCCATTCGAAACACTGCTTCTACCATTTCGAAACATGACATTTTGCTTTATTTCAATCGAAACGTCCAATTTACTTTGCTTCTAATAATATCATCAAAATCTTCAGCCAACAAAATGCCCCTTTAAAATATGTATTTCGATTCCTTTGAGAAATACTTATTTTAAACATATACACAAGATTTTGATGCGACCTTCGAATCATCGTAACATTTATTGCACATGACTCCAGTCACGTCAATCACAACGCTTTTCAGATTCCTTAACCGCCTTGAACCATTTCACAGCATGGTGCAGTTACAAAACAATGATTAATATTTAATCACGCCTATTACCAATATTAACTTTACGCCACCTCTTCATCAAACCAACCCACGACTACCACGTATCACAATCTTACTCAGTGGATGCTTAAACTTCCACACTATAAAAACCCATCAACTTAGTCTTTTCTTTTCTTCCCACTTTCTGAATCTTTTCTCCATCTTTTCTCACTGAAACCCTAAACTTCCAACATTCTTCCAACAATGTCTTCTTCAACTTCATCTCAACTAAAAAAGGCTTCCAAAAAGAAAGGAAAGACCACAGGAACCACAATGGAAAGCAAGGTTGGCACCTACCAAGGTCAATCTGTCCTTGTTCCCCAGGTGATCTCAAAAGAGAAAGAAATGCTTTATGCATCCCAGGTACTAATTCCTACTAACGCTGCTGGCAAGAGGTTAGCTTTAATGGGCCCTCTTACAGTTTTTGAAATTTTAAAAGACACCAGAAAAATTTTCCCAGTTTGTTACAATTTCAAACCTCTGTTTAATAAAATGGACGCCCCTAAGACAATAGAGTCTTCTGGTTCAAACCCCGTGGAAAATCCAATCGTTCCCCCTAAGGACCCTTTTGTACTAGATTATGTAAAGAGTAACTTCAAACCGTTTCGATCTTGCCCCACCTCCGACACAGCTTATCATAACTGGTTTAATAAGGTAGAAGCTAAGAAATCCCAGCAATGGGAAAAAGTAGGTATCTACAACTTGATTAAACTGTCGAAACCAGGTTTTACTTATAGCCACCCATTGTTATTCGCGTCCCTATATTTCTGGGACAGTACTTACAATACTTTCCATCTCCCTGGTGGAATGATTACGCCTACCTTTTTTGACATAGCAGTCATTATTGGGTTATCACCAATAGGAGAAACCTATATTCCTGACAATGAAGAGCATTCGAGTATTATTGACTTCGAAGTCAAGCTAGCTAGCTTTTCAAAGTTTATCAACCACTATCACACTGAAGGAGACAGTGTGTCGGATGTAGAACACATTGCTTTCCTTACCTTATGGTTGTCAAGGTATGTCTTTTGCAGCAGATCCCTACAGGTAGCCAGTAGGTTTATTCCTCTAGCTAGAGATTTGCATGAGAATCGGAGGGTGTGCTTAAGCGAACTGCTATTAGTTGATCTTTATGAAACTCTAAGGTCAGCTGTTTCGAGTCTAAAGTCTCACACCTCCAAGAATATCCTGCTAGCTGGCCCTTTCTGGTTACTTCAGTTATGGATAAATGTCATGTTCGAACCTTCACTATCAACTGCTAATACTATTGCTGAACAAGACCCTGAAATCACGGATAGAATCATCGAAGGCACTAGGCTGCGAAGACTAACCCCAAACGATGATAAGGATGACTTCAAAGTTCTATTCTCAAAATATATCATGATATTCTCCAAGAGGCATAAGTTCGAAGAGACCATGGCGCCTTTTGCTTCAAGGGCTCATGGACCTTCATGGTTCACCATGGCTCTCTCAGAAGCTGTCAAAAGCAAAGAAATTCAAGATGTATGAAGAGCCTTTTTGCTACCCAGACTAATCTCTTCAAGAATAACTCCTGCTAAGAATCAAATTTTCCTTTTTGCTTATCAGCCCAACTTTGTTTCGAGACAGTTTGGCTTGTGCCAACTAATTCCTGAACCCCTATTTCAAACGGAAAATGCCATCACCTCTGGGAGAACCTTCAAGGCACGAGAAGCCAAACTACAGCAGGAACAATACCAAGGCTTCGCCCATTTTGAACTAATAACCTTCGAACCTACACACCTTACAACAAAGGGGTTTCTTGAATGGTGGACAAAGTTCTGTCAGACTTATATGTTCGATACTCTTACTATTCAGCAGAAACTAACTGATGCATTCGATGTGCAGGTACCATCCAAGAAAGTATGTTTACTCATGCCAAAGAGATTAAGGCTTTTCAAAATTATTCCGAAACTACTTATGATCCCACACACTTGGAATCTACGGTGCATCAAGCGGCTGAGACCTTGAAGGAAAAATTCAAAGAAAAAGTTTCTAAGTTAAAACTTCCTTCAGGGTTGTCACCTGAGGATAGGTATAGGTTGGCATTCGAAATGCATCCACCTAAATTTCCTAGATTACCTACCTCAGAACTGGCTCTGGCTTGGTTTCCTCCATACCCTTGCTGGTTCACTTGCAAAGAAATGTTCAAATATCTTCAAAAGAAACCAAAGCCATATGAGACTGTGACATGGGCTCGACACTGGCTCCACGATTTCCCAGGACATCTTCGCTATGACCTT